AAGGCGCCCTTTAAACCCATCAGAGACATTCCCCTGAGGTGGCTGAGAATGAAAACTATTTTCCTGGTGGCTGTGACCTCAGCCAGGAGAATCTCAGAACTTGGAGCCTTCTCTGCTTAATAGGAACTTTGTATTTTCCACAAAGACAAGGTGGTTGGATCCTAGCTTTTGTCCCAAAGTTTCCTCTAGGCTCCACAGTGAGCACGAGATATTTCTTCCGTCCTTCTGTCCGAATCCTGCGTATCCCAGAGAGAAGTCCTGGCATACCTTGAATGTGCTGAGAGCCCTTAAAGCATTCTTGATTCTGACAGAACATATTTGAAAATCGGAAGCTCTGTTCGTCAACATTTCTCCTCCTAATCTGGGAAAGTGTTTGTTCAGGTCGACGATCAACCTTACCATTCGCTGATGTGTTGCTTTGGCATGCGAGGCTCTTAAGCTGGAACCTCCTAAGGGCGTCACGATGCACTCAGTCATAAGCGGAGCCCCCAATGCAGCGCTCGCTAAACAAGCCTCGGTGGAGATCTGCAGAGCAGCCACCTGGTCATCAATCTCCACCTTTGTTCGTCACTACAAGCTCGACGTGTACGATTCAACTGATGCTGCATTTGGAAGATGTGTCCTGCAACATGTGATCAAAGACAATGGCAGTGCCCTACCCTAATGTTTTCACTGCTCTGGTAGAGCCCAAGATGTCCTCCAACTCAGAGGGAGAATGACTGTTGGCACTTACTGTGAAGGGTCCTTCTCCTCTGAGGAAAGGAGGACATCTTGCCCCTCCCTCGGCCAGTTTGGTGTAGTGGTTAAGTGTGCGGACTCTAATCTGGGAGAACCGGGTTTGATTCCCCACTCCTCCACTTGCACCTTCTGATGTGACCTTGGGTCAGTCACAAGCTCTGGCACAGCTGTTCCTGAAAGAGCAGTTTGTGTCAGAGTTCTCTCAGCCCCACCCACCTCACAGGGTGTCCGTTGTGGGGAGGGGAAGGGAAACGAGTTTGTCAGCCGCTCTGAGACTCCAAGTGAAGGGCGGGGTATAAATCCAATCTCTTCTTCTTCTTCTTTGCCATTGATTGATGAACGATGCTTCTCTGTCTTCTGCTGCTCTGCTGGCTGTGTTCCATTTTGTCAATGTTCTCTTCGAGTTTTTTGTTTTGGTTTTATATATATAACATATATATATATTCCCATTCCACAGGAAGAGGTAGAAAGTTGATTCCCGCCTCCCTTCACGGTGCCAACGGTCATTCTCCAGACTAGTTTGGCCAGGGATCCTGGAGGGTTGCGGGATATTTTCCTCCCCCTCTTCTGAGCATGGAACAGGGGTCACTGGGGGTGTGGGGGGAGGTATTTGTGAATTTCCTGCATTGTGCAGGGGGTTGGACTAGATCAGTGGTTCTCAACCTTCCTAATGCTGCGACCCTTTAATACAGTTCCTCATGTTGTGGTGACCCCCCCACCATAAAATTATTTTCGTTGCTACTTCATATCTAATTTTGCTACTGTTATGAATCGTAATGTAAATATCTGATATGCAGGATTTGGCGAGACTTGGGAGCCCTATCCTAAGACCATCGAAAATTTGTGTTTTCCTATGGTCTTAGGCGACCTCTGTGAAAGGGTCGTTCGACCCCAAAGGGGTCGCGACCCACAGGTTGAGAACCGCTGGACTAGATGATCCTGGAGGTCCCTTTCGACTCTGTGGTTCTGATTCTAAGCCATATTCAAATGCTACCATCCTTTCATTAAAATGGAGAAAATAAGGAAATTGATGAAAGCAACATTCCTATAAAACATCAGGAAAGTTGTATTTGTATTTTGCTCAGTTTTGCCAGCTTATATCAGTTCTATAAGGATCTTCTTTGTGGACTGAAACAGTGTATCAGCTCCTGGAATTTGTCTTTAATACCCCCCCCCCCAAATATTTAGATACTCAAGTACATAGAAGGTAGAACAAGGCAATCTAGCCCAAGATTATTTTAGCTGGACATAAAAACATTTAGCTGCGTTCTGCCCACTATTGTCCAGCCTCCAGTGTAGTTACACTAAACTCACAGTAGGCAATTAAGATTTATTTTCAGCAACAAAAATTTCCCTAGGTAGATTCTTCCTTTACATAAAAATGCACTAGTTCTAGGACTACCACAAAACCAAATTACTAATCAGCTATTGTGAATGTCCCTTTCTGGTAGTGCAAGTGAAAACAGAGTTTCAATTACATACTCCGTTCTTCTAAACTTAACTGAGAATATATAATCATGGAATCAAATGGGAAAAATCAGTACAAGAGATGTGCTTATGAATGTGCATCAGCTAAACACAGTAGCATACATAGGATCAAAGCATTTGGGCTGTCTAAAAGATATTATCTAGATGCTGATGGATAAATACTCAGACTTTATCAAATGTAACAAACTGACCCAGAGAAGACTCAGTCTGATAAAGCATCATGTTATTAACAGGCAAGTATACAGAAAATATTTAGGAAAAAAAGAGAAAGATCCCTTGCACAGATTAATAAAATTAGGAAGTAATACTAAAGGGAAACCCTCCAGTTCGTTACATCTTGATTTGTACACTATATGAATTCTGGCACTTAATGTGCATCTATAGCTGCGGTGGCTCAGGTGGTTAAGACGCTGAACTGCAGGCTGTGGAAGGTCAGTAGTTCAGCAGTTCAAGACCCGGGTGCCGCATGACGGAGTGAGCTCCCGTCTCTAGTTCCAGCTCCTGCCAACCTAGCAGTTCGAAAGCAAGAAATTGCAAGTAGATAAATAGGGACCACTTCGGTGGGAAGGTAACAGCGTTCTGTGCGCCTTGGTGTTTAGTCATGCCGGCCACATGACCACGGAAACGTCTTCGGACAGCGCTGGCTCTTCGGCTTTGAAACAGAGATGAGCACCGCAACCCTAGAGTCGGATTCGACTGGCTTTCGAGCAAGGGAAACCTTTACCTTTACTTATAGCTAGAAATCATCTTTCTAGGTCAGGTCCTTCTGCATTCCACCACACAGAAGCAGCAGAATGACACACACAAAATAATGTGCATGTTGATCTGTTGCCAATATTCAAGAAACTCTTCAAGGTAACGAAGCTCCATGTGATCCCCCCCTTTGAGAAATTGCTTAATAGATCTGTCAGAAGACAGTGTAGCTAAATATGACTTTAGATTTTAAAAATCATATTTGCCTTCTGCAAAAAGCCTATGACTGATTTATATTTGTCATTGCAAGTACAAGCTGTTCAGTTTCTAAAACTAACATGAATCCTCACTGTCTTATAGCTTAGCATATATTGTAATGAGAGTTCCCATTTAAGGGGGGGGGGAAATGACAGAAAACTTTATAGCTCCATGGAAGCCACCATGTACTCATCTGTTGTTCAGCCTCATTTATATTGAAAAACTCTCAACGCCTGCCTCCGTGATTGCAATCCAAGCAACATACTTTGGCGTATTGTTCCCCCCCCCAATTAAGACAAGGTACTCTGATGTGGATGGAAAATGTGCTTAAACCATAAAGAGTAGCCGCACCCTGCCGATGCAGAATTGACACCCATGCTGAAATGTTACCGCAAGGTTGAGCGATTGACTTTAGCTAGGCCACTCTTTACGCAAATCTCAAGTACATACTACCACGCTTAGTAATTGCTTGAACTGTTAATCATCTCGTAATAAAATCAGTCTTATTTGTCTTACTGCTAGGAAGTCTTGACTCTTGAGATCCTAGCTGGGATACAGAGATTTACTTTAGGTTCAAGAAGAGGTCTGCAGTAGCCCACTGGTGTTTTTTGAAATTCCCCTTGATTTCAAAAGCTCTGTGATGGGGTGGGTGGAGGTGGTGGGGAAGCTGCTGCCGGAGATAATAAACAGGGCCCAGGGCCCTCAAATCACTATCATTTTCCTGTCATTCATTACGAGCGCTCTAGGGAGCATGTGGTTATGAAAATTTCTTAGCGCTTTAACTCATGTGCAGCAATTCTGCTGTTTTATGTAGAGCTATTTAATTACTGGAACTTGTAATTTTCATCCTCTTAAAAACACACGTTTTCATATTGAAAATAATAAAGGTTAAAAAATTTTTTGACTGTGCTGTTTTGTCCCATCACACTTATTCCCCCACCCCCACCCCCCGGCAATCAAAGTATTTCCAAAGTATTTGGAACATTCTGGATACATTCTGTAAAGAATGCAGTTAATAGTTTCAAGTGACAGACTCCATTCTAAGAAAAAACACATTATGAACTCAAAACAACGTTCTGGGAATGGATGTTATGACAGACTCCCCCGTCCACGGCCCTCCCTCAGAGGTAAGATTTTCCCTCCATTTTCCTTTTTGTGTCCCTCCACTGACTGGGCAGCCCTGGTAACGTGTATTCTTCCCTTCAAAGTAGCTTTAGCAGTCCCACCCTGTGCCAGTAATTCGTAATGGCTATTTTCTCAGCCCAGGACCCGAGGGAAGGGTTAGGGTCTCCCTTCAGCTTTAAATGACAGAAAATGACACTTGAGACACTTTTAAAATTCAAAAATAACAGACGGTTTTATTTAACATCAAGGGGAAAAGGCTAGGTGAAGTCAGGGGCTGCCAATACTGAGGTAAAATAGTATAAGCACAAACTCTTATTCTTATGTATCAGGCTGGTGAGAGTTTCTTGAATTATTTACAGTTACTATAGTTCTGTATTTTGAAGGACTTTTGTTCCTGGGTTTTCCCAAACCACTCCAGCTCACTTTATTTGTATAATAGCAGACTCTTTTGGTGCTCAGAAGGCTGGTTCCCTCTTCCCAGTACCCAAACCCCTTCTCTTGGGACACCAGACATCTTCTTGAGTGGTGAACTGACTTTTAAAAGTCTCCGCAAGCAGTTTCCAATCACACTAGACCAGGAAATCTGTACTCCTCAGAGAGAACCTTCCCTGTTTGACTGGGGAGGGATTGTTCTTCTCTCCCTAGAAGATTAACCCCCTTTCCTTTTCGGTCTGAATGGGAGACTTCTTATGCTACCCAAACCTCCTTGCCAAACTTTCCCCCGGTTCACTGTCTGTGTTCAAACTGCCCTCAGGTAATGCTGAATTAAGACTATATTCAGTCACGGATGAATTCTGACTTTGTTAGCACTAAACCCTTTTCCTGACAGGGCTAGTCCAAGACAGTCTCCACACACATGTCTCGTCACAGTTAAGGCAGGAATCTTAATCTGTTCTCCTTCGCCTCACCAGACCTTTCCCCCCCTCAGCTGATGCCAACCAATCAGATTGCCTGGAGCAGCCTGTCACTCAAGGGTAGTAACTCTTCACAGTCCTGTAGTTTATGTACAGCACTTTTAAGCCTCTTCAAAGATGCAGTCCATCACAGGACGTATTTTAAAGTAAAGCCCCAACTGGAAAAGTGGCATATACCCCCTGCTCTCCACTATTCCCAGCCTCATTAGGAACGAAGGCACTCTCCTATGTGCCCAAGGGCAGTGGTTTGCTTGGCTCGCACATAGTTGTCTTCACACAAACTTGATCTTCACCCAGTCATGACTTCACTACAGAGCTGCAGTGTTACACAACAGGGCACATATTGCTGCTATTTGGCGTTCTTCGGTTTATACCAGATAGTTATACTGTTATGACTGCAAGGTAAGCTCATTAAAGATATTGGCAGTTACTCTGTTTCAGTTAAATACAAAACCTGGAAGAGTTCAACGATGCTTTTTCACACTGCAGCCCCAATCCACATTCTCTGCCTCCCCGGCAGCTGTTTTTGCCATCAGCTACACGTTAGGGGAGCTAATCCTGGGCCCCAAGGCCAAACATCACCTGGCCCTAAGTTACAAATCCCGTTCCAGACTCCATAAGGTCAGCCACTGAAGTGCCAAAGGAGCCTTTGATAAAGGAGCCTCTTTAGCCATCAGCAAAAGATCTTTGAAGGGACGAGGCCCAGCAAAATCTGTATCAGGACCTGACCGAGGTCTCTGTGGGAGAAGGTGATCTTGAAATACCGTGGATCCATAACCATTTCAAAATCCACAATGATCTGGTTCCAGAAAATTGCTACCAAGGGAACAGGGGTAATAGATTCCTGCAACCTAGCACCTGATAACAGTTCAATAGCAGCATTTGGGCACAGCTGTACTTCATAAATATTCCTCAAGGCCAGCTCCATACAGAACACATGATGGTATTCCCGATGTGTGCATTTCTAACAATCAGTGTTCCCTCTACAAGCATGGTACCGTTTCTGGTAACAGATTCAATTCCTTCACTCTTCCACAGCCTCAATTATGGTACGTTTAGATTTTAAAGTGAAGATAAGAAGCTCTTGAGGTCCCCTTTATCATTTTTTTTATTCTCTTCAAGGCTAAGCAGTTTCTTCAACTGAGTGAATTTGGCATTTCTGGGACTCCTGGAGAAGAAAGGAGGTGTTGATTGTCCAGGTGTAGAAGTTCTGAAATGGAAGATTATATGAACTTTTAAGAACTATAAAGAACTGCATTAACATTTATACATCTCTCAGCTGCTAAACAAATGCTTGTGTATACAAATAGCCACATTAAAAGCATCATAAATTTCAAAAGAAACACTCCTATATATTTGCAGTTCAAAGGTTATAGAAATAGACTAAAACAATAAACATTAAACTGAGCGACAAATGTATTTTGGAGTGTGTGGTTTTCAGCTGATATATAGAGTGATTCCACTCTCTGGGGGCTGGTTTTAATTGTTTCATTATGTAATTTTATCTTGTATGTTTCACATTGTTAGCCACCTTGGTGGCCCTTGTGAGGGCAGGAAGTTGGGATAGAAATTTTTGCAAATAAATAAAAAATCTTGAATGCTCCTAAATCCCTTTCTGCTAGAATACCAGAATGCCAGTGAAAAATGTCTACAAGGCAGCAATAAGGTACACCTGTACTCTGTCAGGAGGCTACCAGTGGTGTAACCTGAAGAACTATGGACGGAGGTTCGTGACATTGTACAGGAGGCAGCAATCACCACCATCCCAAAGAAAAAGAAATGCAAGAAAGCAAAGTGGCTTTCTGAGGAGGCTTTACAAATAGCAGAGGAAAGAAGGAAAGCAAAAGGCAAAGGCAAAAAGGAAAGATTTACCCAACTGAATGCAGATTTCCAGAGAACAGCAAGGAGAGATAAGGAGGCCTTCCTGAATGAACAGTGCAAAGTAATAGAAGAAAACAATAGAATGGGAAGGACTAGAGATCTCTTCAAGAAAATTGGAGAAATCAAGGGAGCGTTCCATGCAAAGCTGGCCATGATAAAGGACAAAAACGGTAGGGACCTAACAGAAGCAGAAGAGATTAGGAAAAGATGGCAAGAATACACAGAAGAACTATACAAGAAAGACCTCGATGTCCTTGACAACCACGACGGTATAATCACTGACCTCGAGCCAGACATCCTGGAATGTGAAGTTAAATGGGCCTTAGAAAGCATTACTAACAACAAAGCTAGTGGAGGTGATGGTATTCCAGCTGAACTATTCAAAGTCTTAGAAGATGATGCTGTTAAAGTGCTGCACTCAATTTGCCAGCAAATTTGGAAAACGCAACAGTGGCCACAGGATTGGAAAAGATCAGTATACATTCCAATCCCAAAGAAGGGCAATGCCAAAGAATGTTCAAACTATCGCACAATTGCACTCATATCACACGCTAGCAAGGTCATGCTCAAGATCCTACAAGCTAGGCTTCAACAGTACGTGGATAGAGAACTGCCAGAAGTACAAGCTGGGTTTCGAAGAGGTAGAGGAACTAGAGATCAAATTGCCAACATTCGCTGGATTATGGAGAAAGCAAGAGAGTACCAGAAAAACATCTACTTCTGCTTCATTGACTATGCTAAAGCCTTTGACTGTGTGGATCACAACAAACTATGGCAGGTCCTTAAAGAGATGGGAGTACCAGACCACCTCACATGTCTCTTGAGAAACCTGTATAAGGGCCAAGAAGCGACAGTTAGAACCGGATACGGAACAACTGATTGGTTCAGCATAGGAAAAGGAGTACGACAAGGATGTATACTGTCACCTTGCTTATTTAATATATATGCAGAGTACATCATGCGAAATGCTGGCCTGGATGAATCACAAGCGGGAATTAAGATTGCTGGGGAAAAGATCAACAACCTCAGATATGCAGATGATACCACTCTAATGGCTGAAAGTGAAGAGGATCTAAAGAGCCTCTTGCTCAGAGTAAAAGAGGAGAGCGCAAAAGTGGGCTTGAAGCTCAACATCAAAAAAACTAAGATCATGGCATCCGGCCCCATCACTCCTTGGCAAATAGAAGGGGAAGTCGTGGAAGTAGTGACAGACTTCACGTTCCTGGGATCCCAGATCACCGCAGACTGTGACTGCAGCCATGAAATTAAAAGACGCCTGCTCCTTGGGAGGAAAGCGATGGCGAACCTAAACAGCATGATAAAAAGTAGAGACATCACCCTGCCAACAAAAGTCCGCATGGTCAAAGACGGCAAAGGATGAGATGGCTGGACAGTGTCATCGACGCAACGAACATGAAATTGAGCCAACTTCAGAGGACAGCGGAAGACAGTAGGGCCTGGCAGGAGCTGGTCCATGGGGTTGCGAAGAGTCGGACTCAACTGTGCGACTGAACAACAACAACAAGGGCAAGGTACCCAGTCCTGTTATTTAGGAACTCGGTTCCAAGCTAATGTGGCCTGGAGGGCCCATCTTAAGAATGTTTATAACAGGACCTTAGTCACAACAAAGGCAATAATATGGGGGTTTATACTTACCTTTATACTTATGACTGTCTTACCGTACTTAGATTTTTAACTATTCCTTGGCACGGGATACATTTATGCTTGCAAGTTTAAACTCTATGTCTTCACAAGTAATGCAAGGTCTAATGCAAAGAACTGCATATTTAGACAGACTTTGTGAGCATGCTTCAGGACAGATAGAAACTCTGCAGTATCAGCTTCCGGTTTGGACTCTGTGAATGGTGGTCGCATCTTCGGGGAGCTCCTGAAGTCAATTCGCCCACGCGCGGCCAGGGGGGGGATCCGCACAAGCGGAGACCCTAAGGAACCTCAGGCAGAGGTTCCGATCCGGGGCACACAGGGGATGTGCCTCTTTCCTGATCGGATGGTCGGAAATTGAGGCTCACCCCATGCCCCAATGGCCCTAGCAGCGGCAGTGCCCCGCACGGGGACTAGCAGAGCCGCCGGTAGTCACCGGGTGATCAAGCTGACAAGCGTTTAAAAGGAAGAAAATCGGCCAAAACTGAGAGTTGCCGGTCGGAAACGGGAAAAAAGGAGCAAAGCGCACGCCCCCCCCCCAACGAAAAAGCAAAAGGGAGGAGGGGGAAACCCCCCCCCCAGATATAACAGAGACTG